TCATACTTTCTCGATAAAAAACGAAACTCCGTACGAATATTTTAAGCAAATAACCCGCTTAATTCTAAACAATAAGCTAGAAATAAACTTTAAAATATAATGACTTTTTACTAAAACATTAAGATTCAATGCAACTAGTAATTTAATCTACAAATAAGTAACTTACTTAAGATTTATTTCAGTCTCATGGGGGAAAACTTACAAGTTAAGAAAATAAGTAATACGATTTATTGGAAGGTATTCATTCACAAGTGACGTAGAAGCGAAGCTAGCATTAGAAAATCGATCGTTAACGCATCGACATTTTCATATGGAATTTAAATAACCTTAAGATGTTTTACAACTATTTGTATTGCAATATGGATATACATTAATAATTATACTTAACATTACGTGTTGAGAAGAAAATTGATAAAATCCTTGTGGAATTACAGTACTATTTGTACCTGCGAAGTTTCGAATATTCTTGTAACAACATCCAGTATAAAGCGTTTTATCGAATAGCAAAGGCATTCGTTAAATGGTCATTATAACAAGCATTTGTAAATCGAGAAACGTCTCTCTTTAAAGTTACGATTAGAAAATTTTGCAACTAGGTCACTTGCGATTAATATGAAGGTGGCCGTAATATTTAGCGTCAAAATCGGGAGGGCTTGTTAGACTAGATGTTGCTTGTAGGAGAGTTTAGTAAAAGCTAGTTAGACTCGCGTAACTGGTTATATAACAAAGAAACAAAGAATACACAAAGATTACACTATCTTGACTCGCGGAAGGTCAGCGCTGAAAAGGAAAGAGTGAAACGAGGTCAACGGCTCCCAGAGGGGTCAACAGCGCCACCAACCTTTCATTACGTAACGGAAGAACGTTTACAAAACATCGCGACACAATGCGTTGTATGTAACGATGTCGTATAACATTTGACAATAATTCCGATCGTTGATTCCAACAGACCCATTAGTGGCCGAGCTGTTCCGTTCCCCGAACACTGGGGGTTTGCGCCTGGCCATGTGGAGTTTTCCCGGTTTTCTTCACGTTTTTAACGCCTTAATAGGGTCATTTACTTTTAAAAGATCTTCAAGAAGGCATTCTTCCTAGGCAGATCGCCCAAGTGTTGCGTTGCCGTAACTTAAAAAAGACAATACAGTGGTACCTCGTACTTCGAATCACTCTAACTTCGAATGCGAAATTTAACAAACCAGTTCGAAAGATTAAGTTCGAACTGAGCGCGCAGTGAAAAAAAAATGTTCTCGAAGCATAAACGTAATCTGTTATGTCTCAGAGTTACCTCTCGCCGGAGCGAGAAATAACTTAGTTTATGGTTTGGCTTATGCTTGTATGTTTTCGGTGCTTTTTTCGCATTATTTTTGGTATGTTTGGTTATATATACTGTATTGCGTATTATTCGTCGATTTTTTACAATTTCTTCCTGCACGTTTTTTGTTGTCGACGACTTTTGGGCATCCCGTACGTTTTGCACCATTTGGCATTTGCCACGTTCGAAGTTTAGGAGCATTTTCCCCAGATACATTACAATTTTTTTAACTGTTTGTATGGATTTCACTGTTTATAATTTTCGAAAATGTTAAAGCATTATAATACCCGAGATGCTTTTTATCCGAAGACATTACAACTTGATTTTATTAAAATAAAATGTGAAATAAAGGAGAGTAAGATCTCAAGGAAAGAATAAAATCTCGCACTTTGTATATTCAATTTCACAACTGTTATAATTACTAGTAAATCACAAATCTAAGTTAAAATGCCGCGCAATATTCGTTTAATTATACAGTATTTACGTATTCTACTTTGTGATTTATTATTAGGGAATTTAATTATTAGTTTTTACCTTAAATTATGTGTATTTCTTGTTTTAAGTTTACCGAAATAGGTATTGTTTAGAGTCAGAGGATAGATTCATTGGTTATCCGTTACTTCTAATGGAAAAAATTGATTCGGACGTCGAACCACCTGCTGAAGTGAATTAAATTCGAAGTAGGCTACCAGGGGCCACTGTATAATAATAATTAATACGAAGGACGAAAGCGGGAATTCCACTTCTTCCGTGAAGAAAGAGGAAACAAAGAAACGGAATCGAATAATTCGTCCCAACAAAAATTTGATTTGAAAAAACATCGTAGGCCTATTCATTTTGGTGTAACCGATTTGTTGGCAACAGTGTTTAAATTTCGCTCTCTGACCTGTCTTTACAAAGAATCAATTTGATCGTTTTCCCACAAAAGGAAGAATCCATTCGAAGAAAGGAAACTGAATACGGGTTTCGGACGCTTCGATAAGGTTTCCCTCTCGGAAAAATCCCTACGCACTCAAAGGCTTCCTGAAAGAAGCCACGCGGTCGTCCAGTAACCCAGGATGTGGAATTCGCTCGAAGCTGGTAAGCTGGATTTTTCGACTGTCCACTCCGTCTACTCCCGTACAACCTCTTTGCTTTCTCAGGTATCTTGGCCGTTTTGGCTCTGGCCTTGGCTTTCTTCTCGTTCGCATGGAATTCTTACCACCCCAATGTCCGCCACCGCCCTCGGAAGGCTTACGATGTAGTCATCGGTAAGTAATTGCGTAACTAACCGATCGGTTATCGCTGAATTTTCGCTAATAGCGATTAAATCACCGGTAGCGAAATTCCCTCTTGGGTCACGTGTAGACGGACGATTGCGAAAACTTTTGTGGCTGGTGATAATCTAGCTTATTCATCGAAATTCGTCGGAGCAATTGCCTACTCGATGCGCGGTACCGAGTTGCTTTAAATAAGAAATTACATTTAGTGACCAACGGACTGGACGGTGATTGAAAAGTGTGGATGATCTTTAAACGAGTAGCAGCGTAAATATTTTGGCTGCGTCACGTGTCGCGAACTCGTTCGGCGAATGGTCTTTCTGAACAAACTGGTACCATGTGATATTCTCAGCACGTTCGTGTTGTTACTCCCATTACTGGACCCTAGACAGCTTCGGCAAGAAACGACAAAACAATTCCCGAAATTGTCTGATTTCCAGGCTTTGGACGTTCCGGTCTTTATTGTGAGTCGGAAATGCCACACATTTGTTATCGTATTGTTTGGAGAAAGTTAACAGGAGCGACTTTAAAGGATGTGTAGAAACTGATGGACACAGTTGATAAAGATCCAAATGTCTTTGCTAAAACGCTAAAAACTAAAAAATAATTTTCTTTAGCTTTAAGGTATTCTCGGTGTTATGCTACCAGAAATAAAAGCATGGGGCGTTCTTGCTCAGAAATATTATTAGTTACAATCTCTATCAAATTTTATAGGCTTTTATTTTTGCTGGCATAATACCAAGAATACAGTGAAAGCTGAAGACTTCTTTTTTAATTTTTAGAACGTTTATGAAAAAAGCGTTACTTTTAAATATATTTTTTACTTTATATCTATTAGTTTTATATAAAACTGAATTATTGAAATTCCGTTTCTTTTTCATATATATGTTACTGTAAAAGCCCGTATATTGGTAAATCCTAGGTTTTACTTGTAAATCTTCGGATTTACCAACGTGAGTTGGTAAATGTAAGGATTTTTATAAAGTGAGATGATTTTCCGGGCTTTTACCATTTAGAATTTGGTACATGCTAGGTTTTACTAAAGACGATTAGTAAATGTTGGTTTTGGAAATAAAATTATGAGTATTTTAATAATCATTTATTGCAATTATTATAAACAGTCACCTTACTAAGTCCTATTTATTAATAACTAGTGAAACAGTTTAAAAATACTTTTTTAACATAACAAAAAATTAAATTATCTTGTCAAAAATAATATAATAGATTACGTTGGCTAAGCTAATCAGCAATCACAGTATTTTTTCTAATCATTTGGTATTCGTTGTCATTTAATAAAAGTAAAAAAGGATTTTACTTGTTACAACATGAAGAGCTATCATGGCATTTAGAATTACAAAGTAATCCTGATGACTTGCAAGCGCACTTCTTTGTTACGCATTTTTTTAGGCAGTTGCATTTCTTGAAACCTTGTCCTCCGGTCAAAGACAATTTTGCTATAAATTCTCGAAGACTCACTTCTTTATCTTTAACAACTTCTTCTATTTTGATAAAATCTTTATGGCATGAGGTAAATTAATTTTGTGTATAAAGCTGCTTTAGCACTCCAATTTTGGTACTTAGTTGGTAAAACTCGTTGTCCTTTACATCTATTACAACTGCAATAATGCTTTTCGGGTCGGTTTAGTTTTGTCAATTTCAGGCACTTTCAGTCTTACATTTTGGCCAATTTTCATATTTGGATATTTATCAACAGACGTGGCTTTCATTTTTTCAGCTTGTTTCTCCAAACTCAATTTTGCATTGTTTCTTATAGTCACTACAGATTCTATCTTTTTTGGTATTGTCTCTATAGTTACAAGAAGTTCCTGAGACTTAATCGTGTTTTCTGTCTCTGAATCGGTATCTCTCTGAATCGTTACATTGGAATCATCGGTTATTTGCTTCGCCTTCATCATCTCAGTAATAATCAATTCATCTTCTTGTGTTTTATCGTTGACAGTGCTATTGTCTATATCCCCTTCTGACTCATTTTCAACAATGCTTTCTTCCTTGTCCTGTTCGATTGCATTTTCGATGTCATTATTTTGTTCCGTATTGTCATGCAAATGAAACAACTTCTCTAAATCTTCTTCAGATCTTATAACTCTAATCATATCACCAGGGATTGCTGAAGTTGCAAGGCTTATTTTTATTGGACAACCAAATATTGCTTCGTAGTAAGATCATTTGATTCCCTCGTGATATGCTCTATTTTTCATCGCCTGGATGAATCTTTAACCCTCTGACCACTTTGATAACTGATTGGTTTCAATCCACGTGCTCAACATATTTTCTATGTCTTGATTAGCACGCTCCACTGATCCTTGACTTTGGCTATGTCTTGCCTTTCCATGTACGATTTTTACATCCGGCCACATGAAGCATAAAGTCTCAATAACTTGGTTACAGAATTCTTGGCCATTATCGGAATGAAGGATGCTCGGCGCTCCAAAAGTGGTGAAAATATCCAAAAGATGGTATGCAACTTCTACGGCGCGTTTAGTTTGAAGCGCACGAAGGATCACAAATTTGGTAAGATGGTTTTAGTAAACTAAAATAAATTTATAATTTTCATCTGGGGTAGTTTGTAGATCTATTAGATCAACCTGACAGCGTGAGTTCATTTCACTATGAAGTATAGTTCTGATGACAATGCTCTTTTTCAAAGTCTTCTGTTTCTTTTGGCAAGGTTGACATAGCTTCAAATATGTCATAGTAGCCTCAACTGTTACATTTTTATACTTGCGGTTACATTCCTTAAGCATCCGTGTCCTTCCACTGTGGCAAACAGCAACACGCGTTTCTTCGAGAATGTTGAATAAGTCCTCGTAACAAATGTAATACCTTATTTCTCCATCCACCTTCATAGGCGCAATTAGTTTTTCTTCGCCGCCTATAGTCAAAATGTCGTAACGCTTTATATGCCTGTAATGAACAGCTTGTTTCTTTTTCATGTTCTTTGCAGCTTTTACTTACTCCAAACACTTTGCGTATTTGTCCCTATTGAGATAAAAGTTGTTATCTTTCTTGCTTGCAATGAACTCGTCCATTATTTCATAAAATCTCCGTTTCACACTCATCGTGATTCATAAATAACTTTTAGACAGAGAAATCTCAAACAAGATTAGAATTAACGTATGCGTTTTAACATGTCAAACGATGGAATGCAGCGAGCGAAGGCAGTAGCGCGGTGCGGTAAGGGATCAGGGATTATTTTTTCAACATTTACCACATGTCTCTGAGATAAAACCTAAGATATACCGAGTAAATGCTGATAAAAGTTCGAAATTAACGATGATTGAAGAACATTTCGGACTTTTACCACAATGATTTGGTAAATCTTAGGTTTTACCGGAAAATCTTAGGATTTACCATAGTTTGAGCATTTACAGTAACATATATTCCCCTTCGGTATTACATATGAAATCCGATTCGTTATGAGAAAACGTCGAAAAACTCTGCTCTAAAGTATTCTAATGCATTACAGTGGGAGCCGGTACGGCCGGATGCGTCTTGGCTGGAAGGTTGTCCGAAGCAGGAAATGTCCGCGTGCTGCTGATTGAAGCCGGAGAAGAAGAAGAAAGTTGGTGGAGCCGGATTCCTCTGTCGGCACCCGCGCTGCAACTCTCCTCACTGGACTGGAAGTTTTTGACGGCGCCGCAAGAAGACTCCTCTCGGGGGATGGTGGAAAGGGTAGGCCGATCTTTTTTTCCCTCCATCGACGTTGAAGGAAATTCGAATTTGATTTCAGAGATCGCGTTGGGCCAGAGGAAAGGGATTGGGAGGATCGGGCGCCATTAACTATTTCCTGCACAGTTGGGGGATCCCGCAAGACTTCGAAGCCTGGCCGATAGGATGGAAGTATCGCCATCTGCTACCTTATTTTCTTCGTTCCGAAGACTACCGTACCGCAGGTGGCAACCACTCAGGTAAGTTTCTCTCGGTAACCGTGGTAAAAACGTGATGGACGACTTCTCGTTCTTACGTAAAATTTCCGTTGGAACAACGTACGGGTGCGCGGAAACGAAGGCGGTTAATTCCAGAACAGTGGGAAACGAATCTCTTCGAAGGAGACTTCGAGAGTAATTGGAGCGGAACGAAAGTTCCTTTATAATCGTTGGTCCTCTCCGCATTTATTCGTATCTTTCCGGATTGGCCAATGCGCAATTTTCTTTCCTTATATTTCTACGCCAAAGCGTTTGTCGCAACGAAAATGTTCCAAGCTTTAATTTTCCAAACGATCGACAATCGAAAGATTCCTTTCCGATTATTTTTTAGCGCTTATTTTTAAAGCCGGAGGACTCGGTTGCAGAATCTTCTCCGAGGAAAAACGTACGGGGTGTTCAGATGTTGACTTTTTCGTTTATCCTGACGCAAAAGAGATCTCGGCGTTGCGCGAGTGTGAGCTGGTGGTGCATTGGTTAAGGGCGGTGCTGGCGATGGTTACGGTAAAATAGGTAATTCGTTTGAAAAGGAACAAATCGTGCGGTAGTTTCCAGGCGATATCTAAATTTTCCAAACGAGAAAGAGATGCAAATCAAAAATTTTCGCATGATTTGCGAAGATTTTTTATTTGCATCTCGAGGTCTGCTAATTGATACGGCATTGCCACATTACCTTACGTTGGCGAACGGTACTGCGAAATGATTATACCTTACGGGGAAACGAGACGAAAATATGCAAACAGGATGCGTAGATCTCTCCACCATTTTTCGGACGTACGGGCCTACACGACCTAGGGCCAGAAAAGCTAACTGTTGTGGACTGCTATTTGAAAAGTCGTCCGTCTGCATGTCTTTCCTTAATCTCGAGAATGGAGTTAGATAGTTGAAGGATGAGACCAGATATGGAAACCTTAGGGACAGGAGGCCCGGAGATTATATAAGAACATCCGATTTAAACCTGAAGCATGTTATTTCAATTCAAATATTTTTTCCCGAAAGATGTTAGGTCGGCACGACTATTGTTGAAGGAAAAGTATGATGTACAGAGGCAAGTCACCACTAATTTGAGGTGGAGAGAATATATTTTAAATGAAATAAATTATAAATATGATCAAAAATTGCAGCCCAGTATTGTGGCGATGTCACAATAAATGATTGCTCATATTTTTACGTTTCGTCAAACTTTCTGAAACTCCAATTTTTGTTCGGCAGGCTTCATCGGATCATTCGTCTTAGTTTTTATTAAAATAAATATTTAGTGGGAAGGAACGCAAAATGCCAGTGAGCTGAAGATTTCGTAACTTTATCTGATGTCGAAACATTGATAAAGATGTCATAAATCCAGTCTTCGAGAGGGATAAGCTGAAGATTGTTGCTTGGGTCTGGAGAAAACTTAGGGACCTGCAATGGTTCCTATCCCTATAAAATTACTGTTATTTCACTGACACGAAATAAAATATTAAAAACCGCCCTTTTACTAATAAAGTAAAATTTTATGTATTAAAAAAAAAAACAAACGAAATGGCAAAAGCTCAACATTCAGACCCCATGTATTCTCGATGATCCCGCTAACATCTATATATTGGATATAGCGCTATCGAACCTTGGGTACAGAGTACAGTACCTCGATAATGGGTGTAGCCGATTTTGTAAAATATGCGTATATTTAACCGCATAATTAATTTGGATTTAGCCTGTTTTAGATAAATCTGATTTCACCACATGAGACAGCATATGTTTCATGTGGTGATTCCCAACATTAGTTGACTGGAGAAAATATAGATGTACCCGGTATTGCAAGTAAACAATTCAATTCTTTCTTTGATTGGATTGTCTCTTGGTAGGATTCTGTGCTACAAGTTGGTAGGATTTTATTCGATCGGGATTTCTGCGATTACCTCACGTTAAACGTTTTATTCTTTGTATTACACATTTTTCTGCAAGTGTGGCGTTGCTTCAAAACTTTTGATGTATTAAAAGTTATTTTTTCCATTACGAAAAACGGTTTAAAATATTTCAATAAGTTTTATAAAGGAACTTTTTCAAAGTTTTATTTTTTTTTTTTAACAAGTTTTCAATAGATACTTGAATTGCTTTGGTCCTTATGTTACAATATAAGACGATGAGACTAATTTTTGGCTACTACGGTGTACTTATCACACAATGTTGACGTAATCGGAATAATTACACAGGAGTCAGCGATACAGGGTTATTAGTCGTCAGTCATACCGACACCTAATAAACATGTATTTGTGGGAGTATTACTGACAGTGTTACTTAATTTGTTTATGGCAATCACTGATAAAAATTCCACGATTTGCTTAACTTTTTGGCAACATTTAAACAATCCTACTTAATATGCGTAAGCAATGAACATTCTGTGCCTTATTGCAATCGATACAAATTTAAATAAATGTAGTGTACCTATACAAAATTATTAAAATCCTTTCAGCAGTTACATTAGCGAGTCGCATTTATTTAAGAAAAAGTTAAGAATTGGCTAGAAACTTTCGAATTCCATATTTAACGCTATTTTATTGTTTAAAACAACTGGACGAGATTTCTTTTAGAAAAATCTAAATTGCAATTATATACAGTACATACGCTCCATTTCAAAAAAGCGACGTACTGTATAGTAACTTAAAGCCACCGTGCAATAGTAGCAATAGTAATTAAATTCTGCATTGTAATAGTAATGAAATAACATATTACAGTATTATTATACAAAATACATCATTTAAAGAACAGCTTCGTCACAAAAATTATAAATTAGATCGGAAAGTGACGAACAGTCTGACAATTAATGTAGACTGATAGCCGTCAGAGAAGGCTTACAACTTACACGCGACATTTGTGACGAAACTGTTCTTGAATAATATATCCTTGTGCTGTGATATTGCAATTAATTTCTTTTTCCGCTGTCGTTCCGTGTGTAAAATTTGATTACAATTGCTCGCCGCTTTAGCGTGCATCGATGTTTTTGCCACAGTTTTCTATAATTATCTGCTTTAAACGATTTCCTTTACTCGATCGCCATTTACCTGGAAAATCTTTATAACTGGTGCTCGAATTTAATTATTTATTCTTTCGTTTTAGAATAATCAACATTCACACAAATTAGTATTTTAAAGATATGCATTTTGATACATTGTCGAGTTAGGCTGTAAATTATAACTTTTGCGAACTTAAAAAATGTCATTGCTTTTACAATTACCATTATATGTTAAAATTATATAATTTGGATGTTAAAAACTTCTTGACGGCGGACACATCAATGGCCAAGCCGTTCCGTTCTCTAAACACAGAGATTCATCGTGGGTTGGCGCCTGGTCAGGACGGACTGGACACGTGGACTTTTCCGGGTTTTCTCCACATTTTTAACTGCATGAATAGGGGGCCAATTACCCTTAAAAAGACCTCCCAGAAGGCATCTCCTTAGACACATTGCCAAAGTGTTGCGTTGCCATAACTTAACAAAACAAACAATCTGGACGGCATGTCTTTTTTTAATTTCGACATTAGTTCCGCCGATTAGTTCCACCAGGAAACACCAAACCGCGTTTGGTGTTTCCTGGTGAAAATGTTTCGACTGTCCGCTATCATTGGAAGGAGGAAGAAGAGGCTGAACGATTCAGACGGAGAGAGGTGTTGACGTCGAAGATGGCGTATCCTCCGGTGAAGAGGTTGAACGAAAGCTTCTTATAGTAAAGTATTAACGAAGATATCTGAAGTTCTCGTGGTATATTACCATAAAATCTATCGAGCTCGTTTATTCTCTTATTGTCTCTCTCTTTGTTGTTCGTAACACTTAAGAAATTTAACACTACGTTTCGTCTTATTTTTATGTTTTAGGCGCACGAAATGTGTATGGTTTCTCGTGATTTATAATAAAAATTCGTTATTTATATTTTTTAAAAGAAACTATGAAATTGGCAGCGTTAAAACCGAAAGTCGCCGAACTTGGAATGTGATGTTAAAGCTTGTAGAATGCAATTCTTTCTTAAATAAATCAATATCCATATTTATTGAAAGCGTAAATGAATTACTTTTTAAGTAATTAACGCAAATAAATTACACTTTCAATAAATTCAACGTGGAGGTTTGCAAAACACTCGAGGGTGAAATTTGACACGACTAAAATATTTTCCCTTATTATGTATGCATAACAGCCCGGAAAGTAAAACGCATTAACTTTATATTATGTTTATGTTACTCTTACTCATTTCATAATTAGTTTTAAATTATCCAATCGAACAATTTTACTTACTTCTGTTAACCAGCCACATACAATAATTAAATGTAAACGAAATATGTAATACGTTCTAGGTTTAAAAACTCGCTAAATAAAAAACAATAGTTATTCTTTTTAAATTTTTAGAATACATTTTTAGTATCGCGCATTGCCTATTCGTGAAACAAACTATACTGCACTATGTTCTTTTATCTTTTTTAACAAAATACACTTTCTCAATTCATCTCGGTTAACTTAATTTACTAGGGCGTTAGATGGACCCCTCAAATAACCAGCAAGCAACAATAACCTTTATCTATCGTTTGAGCAAAAAAAAATGGAACCCCCCTCCACGTTTGATCTGTCTACGTACCAATCGTACAGTACATAACAATTCTCGGCATAAGCCAATAAACGAAACGTGTAGTTATTGTTATATCTAGGACTTTGCCAGGTCGCACCCATGGCCATCCTTCCGTGTTTGTTTCAAATGACAATGCTAGAAATTAAATACGATTATAGTATTTATAGAACGATTTACACATTCTGCAATATACATCGTGTATTTTAAAATAAAAATATAAAATTAGTTTCTTACAAATAAATACACTACAAATATTCTTAAAAATTCTGTAATTAGTTTATATCAAAACGGACAATGTTTGAAACTAAATTTATTTTCGTTTTTGCTTATTAGGAATTACCACTAGGAATAATTTTCATCGTTTCTATGTATTGTTTTATTAAGTCATCGTAGAATCTTACCGGTCGAAATCCTACCGGACAAATTCCTACGACAAAGAATACCATCGATTGTGTATTCGGGTAGAAATGCGCCGGAACGCCATTCCGGTAATAATTTTTACAACCGGAAAACTTTCTACTGTGTAAAACACAAAATTGTAAATACAGAAAATTAAGACTAAGGCAACTGCGGAAAACCAAAGATCTTTTCGGAATGCGGTTGGCTAATCGGGCCACTCAGTAGCCTTTTGGTAGATTTATTTATTCGGCTATTTAGACGGAACACACAACCGGAATTTGTCCGGTAGGATTTTGTAACCCAGTGGACGTTTTCCATTACTATTTTGAAAAGACTTCCCCGTACTCTGTAGTTCTCTTTTACCCCTATTCGTTTGTTATTAGTATAATGAAACAAGACGATAAATTGTATTACACGTTGAATTATTCGCGGGAATTAAGGAAAGAAAAAAATTACCTACAAGGTCGATGGGGATTACCTAAGACGTTTATTTTTGGTTTCGGATTTATCTGTAAATTTTTGTCCGTTTGTATTCTCATTTTTAGCATTTTGAGATTATTCGTAAAAAATGACATAAAATCCAACGTTTGAGGTGGAGCGTTAGCGCCTCCTCTTCTATACCGCTTACAAAATTGCGTTTGATTTCCAAATTTCATCCATCAGTTTTAATTAAACTTTGCCATTTCCGTTAATTGAATCCAAAAGTGTAATAAAATATAGGAATCCACGATTACGTTTTCGAGATATAAGGTCGTAGAACCGGCGCGCGCGGAAAATCCATATCGCACCAATAGCTCGACTTGGTGAGGCGATGTCCCGAAGTGTCTAGTACGTCTTCTTCGGCTCGTAAGATGGATTTCGCTGTCAAAATTTGATAGCTCGATTTTGATAAATCTTTGCCGTTTTCCAGGAGGGTGAAACCGACAACGTTCCCGCTTCTCGACACGATTTATCGCGCCTAACGGAATTTCGGGAATAAAAGTAGAATCGGTGGAGGAGCGGACGGATTTTATTACAGAGAAAAAATCGGAACGGCGACGATGGTTGGAATTTGTAGTCTTTACTAGCAGTTGATGGGCCGAGGATTTTCTAACGGGAGACGACCATATTTGTATTTGCGGAATTTTTTTTCCGGTTCCCCCAGATCACCGAGGAAAGAAAGGTCCTTGCAAGGTGACGGAGTTCGACGCGCAGCAATCGAAAGTGGCGAAAGCGTTGATGGAAAGCGCCCGGCGAATGGGGGTAGACTGCGGAGATTTGAACAACCTGAAGATCGAGGGCGTCGCTGCCAGCCAAAGTGAGCTCATCTCGGCCCAATGATTTCTTTAGGATCCCGGTTTTCCATTTATTTTCCTTCTTTTTATGTATATTAGATAACATTTACGAAGGGAGGAGATGGTCGACTTTCCGCGGTTACCTGGAATCTATTGGAAAGAGACCCAACTTAGACGTGGTCACCGGCTTTTTGGCCACCAAAGTAAGTACGTCCGTCTTCGGCAGATTGGTTTCTCCGCTCGTTTTCACGTCCTTCTTTCTTGCCAGATTCTGTTCCGAGGAAAGACCGCCGCGGGGGTCGAGATTCTTTCCGTCGGCGATGGAACTTCCCTCCGAGTCTTCGCTCGCCGGGAAATCGTTCTGTGCGCCGGAGTTGTCGGTTCTCCCCATCTTCTTCTACTCTCCGGCGTGGGTCCGGCCCGACAATTACGAAAATACAAAGTAAGTGGCCGTCTACTTACGCGGGTAAAAGTCTGACGACGGCGGAATTCGGAAATTTCCAACAGTAAACGAAAACGCCATACTGGCGAATTTCATTTTAATTCTTTATAACGACTTTGTTTCCGAAAATGAGTCTTAAATAACGGAAAACCCGACAAAAAAATGGTTGCGCTTAAAGGTACTATACCTCCACACTCCAAGGCACATCGGAAAATGCTTCCTTTTAGTTAATCTTCTAATTTTGTTCACCTCTTTTCAAATTTATATTTATTTCACCCTCCCCTTTCTACGCTGTACAAATAAAAAATAAGAAATGAAATAGAATTCATTTCTTATTTTTTACCGTAATGCAATTTAAACACACATCCACTCTTATTATTCGTTACTATTATTATTAGATTTTAAAATTCCATTAAAACAAATTTGCTATTTTCTAACCATCCTTACCCATCCCCAATAATTTATCGTGTTCCCGATAAATGGACGGACCAGGCGGAGTGCGTGGTTGGAAATTCGTGGTCTAACCTTTCAAAAATAGTAAGTTGCTTACTTCCGTATTGGCAGTTTATTTGCTAGTTCGACGTGACGGACGTTGGGCAGAGGAACGGAGTCGCGACTCCGACTCCGTAATTACGTAAAATGAATAAATAAATGAGCTTTCAATCCAGAGACGACCCATTAAATCGATTATGGCCTATTAATGCTTTAAAATATTTAAATTTCGATTTTATTTACCGGCGGCGTAAAAACGGCCGAGTAGAAGGCAAATACTGTATTCCACTTTCGAAAAATGCTCGATCGATCTGTAAGATAGCAGAACTTCTTATATTAGAAATAGTCTTTAATAATAACGTTTCGCGAATTACGCAACAATTGTTGTTCTTAGCTACCTGAGAAAGTCTCCCATTACATTTTCTCGAAAGCAACATGACGCTTTCTCGTGAACTATTAACCTCTGCACGGCCGAAATCGCTCGTGAATATCACCAGAGACGGCCGAAAAGAGTCAGTCGCCGCCGTTCCTCTGGATAGAAGTCGTCAGATAGCAACCGGACTTTTGTGTTTTTGTGCCTCCTATTTGGATTATTTGCAACAGGATTTATTAAGTGCCAAAGAAACTTGAACGAACGTCGTCGCTAGAACTTTGGATTAAGTCAAGAACTTCATTATCAATTATCAGCTATTCAAGAATCAACCAAACTCCAGGTATTTATCACCCCGCGAAACGTATGTGAACTCTCTCTCTCCGCGACAACACTTTATCCAATAGATTTTTAAATAAACCATTGTTAATTGTTAAGTGTATCTGAGTCACTTCCAATGTTGTCTCTCGAATCGACATTACGAATCCGTCTGACCACGTACGGGACCGCTCGCTCGACGGCGTGACGTAATCGCCGTCTCGGTTTCCGTGTTTCGAGAAACACGGTGGTGTCAATCCTGACAGGGTACCAAAGAGGTGCCGACCCGAAAGGTCACAGATCGTTACGGGAAAAACTACCCGAGTCAGTTTTCGTCACTCGCCATTTGTGTTTTTATCTTCAGGCCGAACATGCGAACTTTCCCGTATCTTTCGTCATATTTACGGGGTTTAATTTTACCTTGCAAACTTCGCTGCGCTAACGAGATTTGCTTAAGAATATTGTCGTTAATTCCAAATGACCCATGAAATAAAAGTAATTACTTGTTTGAAAATGTATATCGGTTGTTTTACGAATCCAATTTACTTGTGTTTTCCAGATTTCGGTGGTCTCGGATCTTCCCGACGTCGGTCAAAATTTGCAAGACCATTTAGCCGTTCCTCTTTACTTTCATCTAGACTTACCAGTTTCTGTAAATTTAGCTAAAGTCAAGTCTTTCTATCAAATATGGAATTATATCGTTCACGGATCGGGTAAAAGCATTCGTTTCACTTATTTACGCCAGACTCGTCTTTTGGGACGAATTTATTTAGAATCGTGCTATGTTTTTAAAGTTTACCCTGTAGTTTGATCTTTCAGGTCTCCTGAGTAATAGCGGAATTGAGATGACAGCTAGGATGTTTCGGCCGGGAAGTATCAATAATTCCAGCAGACCCGAATTTTTCTTTCTGTTATTCAATGTCGGTTCGATCGACAAAGATATCTTCGGACGGATCAGCAATATGCGAGACGATGTAAGTATAAAAGACAATATGATAAACTCTCGATTTAATAGACTAATAACTGAAAATAAATAAATTAAAAAAAATAGAAGATAAGCCTACAGCAGTGTCCGTTGAACGGTGCATCTTCCGTTGGCAAAAGCAGAAACGTACCAACATTTTTTTAAAAAAGGAACGAGCCGTTTAATTTAATGTCGAACGATATCCTTGAGAATTTGACAGAAAAAATACCGCAAGAGGATTGGTTGCAGCTGGGAGAATATTCGGTTTTTTTTTTTTCGATTGTTACGATGGAAAAGAAGTTCGAAATATTTAAAAAAAAATGTATATACTGTGTTATTTATGTCGTTAACGAATTACCCGTATTTTCGATCAGTTCGAGCCGGATAAACGGGATTCCATATTGTTGAGATTTTCGTATCGTAGAATAATTTTCATTTTTGTTACGCTTGATGTTACGAAATTTCTATTAATTAGATTTTCGACCAGTCGTTTCCGGATTATCGTAACGAATCGAAAGAGGGGTTCGTCCTCTTATCTTCCTGTCTCCATCCTTCTTCCAAAGGTAGCGTCAGCTTGCAATCGGCCAATCCGACGGTTCCTCCTCTCATCGATCCTCGATATCTATCGGAAGAGCGAGATATACGATGTTCCGTACAAGGTAATACGGCCGATATACGTCACTTCATTTATTACTCGCACCAAATAACGTATCAAATATTGTAGCCATGGAAACGGGGATCAAATTAGTTACTTCGGACGCATTTCGAGAAATGGGAGTTCGGCTTCATCTTCCGAAGTTTTCAAACTGTTCCGGCAACGAAGCGCACATCGGCGACAGAGAATTTCTAAAATGTTGGTTTCAAACTAATGCCATCACCGGAAACCATCCGCTAGGCACGAACCGGATGGGAGACGATAATCGCTCCGTGCTGGATCCCTACTTAAGGTGAATTACAATTACTTTTCCACGGCACAATTCAAAAATGTCATTTTTTTAAATTTATTCATTCATATCTTGATTTTTTGTCAATTTCAGAGTTCGAGGAATTAGGAACTTACGCGTAGTAGATGCTTCTAGTATTCCGGGACAGTTATCCGGACCTCCCAATGCCGTGGTCGTGGCCTTGGCCGAGAAAGCTGCGGATATTATTAAATCTTCCTTAAGGGTGGCTTCTCCGCCTAATTAATAGCTATTTATGTAGACCTATTTAACGTACGAAATTACTTAAAATGTAGGCCTATATTAAAATTCGACAATCATACGCGATACACTAAAATTCACTTTGTACTTCAAAAATACAGTACACTGACCGACTCCAAAAAGGAAACTTGTCTAATAAGAAAGTAAAACTTTGAACAAGACGATTTACATGTAAAATATTATTATACATCAAACACCCGGATTGGCGCCCGGCCAAAGGGTCGGCCACGTGAAGTTTTCCGGCTTTTCTTCACGTTTGGGCAGATCGCCTGAGTGTCGCGTTGCCGTAATTGAATAGAACATAAAATCTAAACCGAATGTTTTAACAATCTTTTAATCGAAAAATTCTGATATACAAAAGAAGTCGTCTTCGAAATGTTTGAAGAAATGGAGGTAGGCTGTATCGGATTTCAAAAAGTCTTTTAGTTTTATCTTCCGACACAATATTCGATTAGTTCTCGGTTACGATGTAGAAATAAGAAAAATGCTAACGGGGGTGCAGTCGCCTGATGTAATGTCATTGCCTCGCCCACCAAACAATCATCTGTCATATCGATTGCCGATTTTGGTTTGTGTTACTCGTTTACTGTGTCAACGTGGAAGAAAGGAATGTCGCCTGGCACGCAGCCGATTTGAAAGATGACCGTTCAAAAAGTATAGAAAGAAAATTTCTTTTATTGGATGGATCTATACGAAATGCAATCGACGGATTTTTATCCAACGGTTGCATTTCGTATCTGTATATGTTTGCAATTGGGGGGATTAAAGGAATAGAGATTATTATTAGGCCTATATCATTCCCAAAATTTTTACAATTTTGGACTCGGAGAGTCTCGAAACGTCCAGAAATGAAAAAAAAAAAAAAATCTGGGGTAATTTCTGTTTGTATGGATGGGTGTTTGTGCGTGGATGTGTAGCACGATTTTGTTCGCTCTCTTTGAAGCTTAATACCTCCCGTGCTTTTTGTCGAAAATTTCTGAAATTTTGCAAGGAGATGGAGCTTGATGTTAAGAGGATGGGAAGGTAGAAGGGGTCGTGTGTAATTTCTCGAGTATGGTCGGACTTAATGACGATTTTACTGGTTATTAGTATTTACAATTTTTTATGAAACCCGTCCCTATCCCGAAAATTAAGCTTTTTGCCATGTTATAACAATTAATTACATAAAATGTTTTAATGAAATATGATAACAGATGGTGCCACACGCAATTTTAAATGTTGCCGGGAAAGTTGAGCAATTCGTTACTGATTTTTTAAAGTTAATTTTCACTGAAGTCAATTTGGCAGAACGGCGGTCGACAGACAATTACGTCACTGAAATAAGCAGGACAGTCCTTAAAAACGGCTGGGCTTTTCGGTCGAAATGATGCGGTTTGGCTCCTCCCGACGATTTTCGGAAACCGCGACGTTAGAGAAGGAATTATTCCACTTCTTACGACCGCGGTTCAACGCCTTTCGTTTTTAAGTGGTGGGCTTAAAGCCGACGAGGTGGACGCGCGCCAACCCTCCGCAATAAGAATACGAAAACGAAACCGCCAGAGACTTTGGAGGAATTCCTTTATTTGTGCCGAGAACGAATACATTCCATTTCATCGAACTTTCTGGACGAAAACCGATGTGAAATAACAATTGTGTTTTGTTGGCCACGTAAAAATTAATTTATTTGTATTTTGTTTTGAGAAAAATACGCGTAGTGGAAGGAGGCCAAATTGGTCTTCCTACCTAAATCCGCGGTGGAAAGGGAATTTTCACCTTTATTGGTCGGAGGCGGGAAAATTCGTTGTACTTTTGTGCGTCTTAGAGAAAAAGATTTTAAACCGGAAAGGGTTTCCGTAATAAATTACATTAAATTACGCGCTCGCCGTCGGTATTGCGGCGGTGGTGAAATTACGCGCGGCGTAAATTATCTGAGTCATCGGGGACTTCCCGGTTTTTCGGAGGTCCCCGTAGACGGTCGAGACTTCAGTATGAGGTCGGCGGCTTTTTCGGCAATCATGATGACCGGAGCGTTGGTGTTTCCCGAGACGATTTCGGGCATGACCGAGGCATCCACCACTCTCAGTCCTCCCACTCCTTTCACCCTGTAAATACAGTAATTCGGATTCTTCCATTAGACATGTTTCCCTCTTTCTCCTAATAAAGTACCACCTATTATAAATTATAATAAATTACTTCGTTCCCGTCATTTTCGTCTCGGCGCTTTTATACTTCTTCGTCGCATCTTCGCTTATACTAACTACCGCGTTCGGATGCCGGAAGGGCAAAAACCACTCCACCCACAAATGAACCTGGTATTCGCTTGAGGAAACGGATGACGAAAGGCACTGACGTCACTTTTTCCGTGGAAGTGGGCGGAATAGAAGTGGAAAATTTTCGACTTTGCCGTGGAGGAAAGCGAAAGAGTAAAAAGTAGACCAAAAGAAGACCCGTTTAGCCACCTGATGGTAAACGTCAGGCGAGATGATAGCGATGGAACTGTGGCATCGGCAAGGCTAAAAATCTTTATTTATACTCTAATACGTTAATGTATTTTTTATACGTTACATTAGTATCCGATTTAAATAATTTCAAATAGACGCACTTACGGCGTAAAGTATTGGGAATGGTCTAATTGTAATTCGAGTATCGAAGTATTTCATATTCCTAACTTCTAACAATTTCCAAACATTTTTTCTTATCCAAATTCTTCGACTTTTTTTATTTTTCATAAGATCGTCAGCAAACTTAGAAAGTTTAATGGATGTAGCCACCCGTCTCGATCGACGCCGTTTTCCGCTGCCGGCAGGTGGCACGCGTTTCCGTGGTACGGTAATTTCGTTCACAGCGGTCCACTACACCTTCCCCGCGTTTCTTTTGCAGCGAGAGTGTAGCGAAATGACGTCACGAGCATTGTTGGCCAATTAGAAACCAGTTTTAGTATAAAGCGCTTCTCGACCGCTGCATAAAGAAACGCGGGCCTCCATCTTTGCCGCGGTGGGCGAGTGGTCTCCGTTGCCGCTCATCGTAGTGGTGACCAGACCCTAAAGACTGGGAGGTTCGTCGTGGGTTCGCGCCACGGTCGGACAGGCTGGCTGCTTGGAGTTTTCCGGGTTTTCTCCTTGCCTATAACGACTGAATAGGAGGCCAGTTTCCCATAAAAGTCCTCCCGGAAGGCATTTATTTCCCGCGCGTACGTATGGTTGTTCGATACAGCCGGCTAATCGGTCGCCTAGCGATCATACATATACACAAGTCTACTCGGAGAAAGAGCCTACATTGAGCTAAAATCTCCATATAAACACCATCGAAGAAAAGAAAGAAGATCTTTGCCGCGGACAGATATGCAATCGGACGTCATTGACAAAATGCCATAATATGTACAGACTCGAAATCTATACTAACGCTCTTCTACGCACATCGGAAAAATTCCCCACCGTAATACAAACCATTATCACCACCCTCCACCAAAGACAACCACAGCTTGCACACCAAGCTCGTTTGGCTCGTTTGGTGCGACTACCAGACTAATTGTGACGCCAGAAAACATTTTTAAAAAATTTTCCTATATTTTTAGTAACGAAGAAAGTAAGTCAAAGAAATGGATCAATACGTAAAGAATTAACCTTTTTCCGGCATGTAGTGGTCGGACGTTTATAAATAGCGACCGGCTTTGACGGAGACTCGACCTCACCTGAGTTGGGGGTCCAGCACGGCGGTGGGATCGGAGAGATTTCCCATCTTGCAGGTTCCGGCTGGATGGTAGATGGAGACGGTGTAAACTCGAGCCATGCAGGCTAGGTACTGGTCGCTCCACCTCTGGTACTTTTCGCATCCGGGAAAAGGCGCATCGAATATTTTCGAACCGAACTTCTTAAAGGCCGAGGTGAATCCCAGAGCTTTGCACAGCTTCATTCCTGTAAAGGTGACGTTGGACAATTTAAGTAAAGCCTGGCTCCCTTCTCTTTTCGGCTTATCGCAGTCGAGCGCTCCCTTTAGTTTGGGACGAAAGACGTTTCCTACCGGCAAAATTCAGATTCCACCTTTTCCTTTCTCTGTCTTCCGAAAAGAAACCCTTAAGATAACACAGCCGCAATTCGGGGTTTTCGGCCAAACTCCGTAATTTAGTTTCCGGTGTGAACGACGGTTTCCGAATCACGGTAATTTTTCCGCCGGGTTTTTTCCAGAAAGTTCTTACCGTTTCGGAAAAGGTGGTGGAAACTTTTGACCGACTTACGAAAATTGGCGGGAATCTCGGAAGGAGAAGACCGGGAGTTTTGGGTAAAAGGCCGTAATTTACGGGGCCGTTAATTAATTTTTGGGCCGAGTTTTCCACCGGGAAAACTGTATTCCGAGGGAAGTGTCTTCGGCAAACCGCGGATTTCCTTAGTATTTCATTGTTCGAAAAACAAAAAGCTAAATCGGTTCGCTCCACGCCTGTCCATATAGCGGCTCTCGACGACCTGTTTTGTGCAATTATGTCAATTTTTGTAACTTAGTTACGGGTAATGTTTTTACGGTCGGTTCCCTGCCGTAGTTACGAAAATCACCGAATATCTAAATATTACGTCACTGGCGTTACCGGCGACTGTTCGATAACGGTGATTAAATCGCCGGTAGTGAAACATGGCCGATGCTAAGAGGGGAACTCGGTGACTATATCATATGGCACGTGAAATTGCCATTTGACCAGACTCGTGACCAGACAACGCTGCGCCAGAACGAGCTCGGTCGGGCTAATAGCCTTTAACACGCCTTGAGGATGGGTGGACGACACGGCAGTTTCCCAGAGAAATTTAAACAATATTCGCGAAACACACAGAAATATATAGAACTTTTCAAGTCGAGAAAGCTTGCATCCGACCCTCCCAGGGTTTTTGATCAAAGTTGGTTCAAAACCCTGGGATATAAAACTAGCGCGATAACCGAAAGAACAGTTTTCAGAAATTGATATTTCCCAACTCCGACTCTAGTTCCGGGGTAAAAAAAAAATATATAAAAAATATGTTTTTGTGAAATTCTTTTGAGATAAATATTTTTCTGTGTTATCAATCGCAATTTTTATCGAGATTAGACCTAAACATCCTTTACATGCTGATGAAAAGGGAAATAATATTTTAAAAATAGTCGAATGACCTTCATTTTACCAGTAAATCTGAAGACTTGAAGGCAACGGTAGTAATTATTAGGGATGAAACAAATAATGTTTGCCGGAAATGTCGGCAACAACGTTGCCAGCTTTGTTTTATTACTCTTTCGTTATCTGAATAGTTGGAATTTTTCAAAAAGAATGATAATTTAAAAAATTACGAGTCCTTGGAACAACAACTTTGAACGCTAAATTCGAAAGAAATTGGATTCGGAGTTCGAACTATGCTTCTACGTTTGACTGCACGCGCAGTAAAAAATGTGTTTGAAGTGTAAACGCCATCTGTTGTGCGCCCGAATCGTCTCTCGTTCTGGCTGCGATAGAGTGTTTTGCGTTACGTTTCCGAGTTTTCGGTACATTTTTCTGTTTATTTTTGATATTTTTAGTTATATAAGTAACCCCAACCTATTAATCTAGACATACAAGAAGAGTGTGGAAGCAGTGAAGTCTAAGAGAATCGTTGTAGTATGGACGATTGGAGTAAAAAAGGAACTTATCGCGAAGCACGGAAATGACAGATGTGTGATGAATCTGGCGCCCGTGTTTAACATGCAAAAATCGACGGCGTGAGACCGGTAAATACAATTTTCATTTCATTATACAGTATTTGCATATTTTATTTATTGTTTCCGCGCTTTAATTTGTTATTTAGGCATTTAATTATGTTATTGCTACCTTAAATTGGTTAATGTCCAGGGTCGTAGACCATCATGGCGGCTCTTCCTGTTTTAGCCTCGAAACCGGACCGCTTTGGAGACGACGTGTCACGTGACGACGCGAGCGAACGGCGGCGGCTGCTCCGCCGCGGCAGCGCCGGCGCTGATTCCAGCAAACAAAAGCAAACAGTGGGGACCGAAATCTATACTAACGCTCTTCTACGCACATCG